GTGGGAGTGCAAACTGGTGCAGCCATTATGGAAAACAGTATGGAGATTCCTCAAAAAACTAAAAATAGAACTACCATATGACCCAGCTATCCCACTACTGGGTATCTACCCAAGCTACTTGAAATCAACAATGCAAGGTAACATACGCACCCCTGTGTTCATTGCAGCACTATTCACAACAGCCAACACTTGGAAACAATCCAAGTGGCCATTGACCGATGACTGGATAAAGAAGATGTGGTATACATATACAATAGACTACTACTCAGCCAGAAAGAAAAAACAAAATCATCCCATTTGCAACAACATGGAAGGACCTGGAGGGAATTATGCTAAGCAAAATAAGCCAAACTGAGAAAGACAAACACCATATGATTTCACTCATATGTGGAATACAAACAAACACATGGACAAAGAAAACAGTTCAGTGGTTACCAGGGGAAGGGGCAATGGGGTGTGGGGGGTGGGCACAGTGGCTGAAGGGGAGCACTTATGTGGTGACAGTCAAGAAATAATGTACAACCGAAATCTCACATTGATGTAAACTATTATGAACTCAATTAGAAAACAAGTAACTGCCATGCCAACATCATGTCTAACCAAATGACCAGTAATCTTTAATATTATCTACTCATACGCAATCGATATTCAAATTCCTCAATTGTCTCCAGGCTGTCACGGGAGTAAGTGGTAGAAGATGGAATTTGAACCCAGGCAGTTGGACTCCAGTGGATTCTGAAATCCATAACTGATGGAAAGAGAGAATCTACCAAGAGCTCCGCAGGAATGGACAGAAAACGGCAAAATAAGCCGGGGAGAGGATGCAAGGACGCGGTAAGCAGAAAGGTGGTTAGGAAACTCAGCAGGGTGGCCTCCACCGGCAGGCGTTTCCAAGGTGTCTCCTTTTAGGCACCTGACAACCTCAAGGAGAGCAAATTTGGACGCTGCAGGTGGAAGCAGGTGGGAGGGCACAGGAGGAGTGAGGAGACCCCCGGGAAGGCAGTGCTGAAGCCAACAGCATCAGGACTTGGCAGGTCCCCACGGTCTGACTCCCACTAGGCAGACTGCAGACGTGCCTGTCACTCGACGTGGACCGGCTGGGCGAAAGCTGACACTGACCCACAGGGCCTTGGTGACCATGCAGATCATAGATAGCACTGTCCACAAGATAAGATTTAACTGTCCCTTTAGATAACTGTCTTACAAGGGCAGGCTAATCACTAGCTTTTGACCTAACAGACCTTCTTTGAATATGGTTTCGAATCTCCCTGCTCGTGGGTCTGATTTCAAGAGGCAGCTACTTCAGTGAAGTGAAACCATTGTAAACAGGAAGTGCAGAGGAAATGCTAAGAGGAGAAACCAACTCAGAGGCCCGGGGTTCGCCGGTTCGGATCCCGGGTGGGGACATGGCACTGCTTGGCATGCCATGCTGTGGCAGGAGTCCCACATAGAAAGTAGAGGAAGATGGGCACGGATGTTAGCTCAGGGCCAGGCTTCCTCAGCAAAAAGAGGAGGACTGGCAGTAGTTAGCTCAGGGCTAATCTTCCTCAAAAAAAAAAAAAAGAAAAAAGAAACCAACTCATGTTGAAGCTTTGCAGCCAGGTCTTGGAATCCCAAGAGTGCACTGCCCCCAACAGGCTGGTGTTCCATGATTAACCACAAGGTGACACTTTTTTGGAGTCAAGCCCCTGAATAGTGTTAAAAATAAACGGGCCAATGGTAACTTTTACAATTACAGGATATAGTCATGTGGCAGCTGTGAAAACACACCACTTAGCTCTCCTGTGATGGGGAACATAGTCGACTGACTAACAGCCCCAGCCGCTGCCCTTCTGGCTCCACCACAGCATTCACCTGCCAGCTGCTCCCAGCCAGTGGCCTAGCCCAGCCCAGCTATTCATTCAGACCTATTCCTGTGAGCTGTGGGGCTGCGCCAATGGGTGGCTTTGGCTCAAGGACTTGCCATCAGCCTGGTGGATGCTTTCTTGGGCTATTCTGCAGTCTCTGATTCTTCCCTCCCTCTCTCCCTCACAGTGGTCAGAGCTCGGTTATTGCCGCATTCAGGGCCAGCCCTGTAAGACAGCAGAGAGGGAAAATCTTTCTAGGAGGCAATCTGTGGGTGGTACACCTGGCATCCACACTGGAAAGAAAAGCAGCCCGAAGTGAGAATGCATACAGATTCCTGAACCGCGGCCCATGCCCTGGGTGTTTGTTCTGGAACCTGGAAGGAAAAGGACTGAAAGTTTGGGAAGCAGGAGATCCAGGATAGAGGCACACAGATAAACACAGGGGCGCGGCACAAAGTGTTATTTTCGTCTCACACAGCGATGTCCCCCAGAAAGCACCCATCGTGGAAGAGGCACAGAACACCACGTAGACAAAGTGACTCGGCCAGTTGGCGTGACCGGGCCTTCCTCGTCGGCTGCCAGAATTGGCATAATGGGCTCACGAGTGGAGGAGAGCCACAGACGGCCCAGGAGCATGGACTCCCACTTAACCAAGCTGATGTAGTTAGTGCGTCTCTGAATGTCCAGCCTGTCCACAAGAGAGACCAACGGCGGGGCCCAGAGATGGCATTGTTCCCTTCAGGAGCCCAGCGGGCCATGGCCTGAGGGCAAGCCCACAAGTGGGCCAGTTATAGGTTTAGACTGCTCCTCCGCTCTGTGAAAATGGATCTGGGCGCTTGAAGGAGCTTTTCCTTTGCCAGCCAGCAACTGCCGCTGTGTCGGGAGAGGGAGACGGAGAGACGCGGCAGGAGGACAGGTGTCTGCTCCCAGACTGCAGGGCTGGCCGTCCTGGTCCTGGGCAGCTGCTCCCGGGTGGGTGCCTCCTTCAGGCAGTTCTGCAGGAGGCCTCTGGGAGGAACTCCTCCTGTGCAGTTTTCCCAGCATCCTAGCGGGCAGGTTGCAGGCAAGTTCCAAAGGGCAGGTTTCTAGCAAGTTCCACCAAGAGAGCACCACAGTAACGGTTCTGCCATCAAATGAGCCCCAGCCATGCCGTCCCAACAAGGTCCGGGTGTCTGCCCAGGGGTGGGAATGGGGGGGAGCGCTCTTCATCTCAGCCCTGTTAGCGGCTTAGCAACTGCTCCTTCTGCCTGCTATTCCTGCATTCTTTAAGGTTCTCCTTTTCTCCTACGAGCCAATCCCTCATTACTCCAATCCCGTTACAGTTAATAATTCTGTACATTAAGCTCTCTCTGTTCAAATGACTGGGTGGCATCTGTGTCACTCCTCACAGTGACAGCTACCACATCCAGGTAAGAGTTTGCCTTTACTGCTGGCAGGGACACAGATGCCAGGGCCTTCTGGGGAGCTTATACAAAGCCTGATCCATAGGCACAGGCATAGGTCTCCCGGTACCCGCTTGCTCCACTGTGACTGAGTGCCTGTGACGTGCCCCACTGTGACCGTGAAGGCCAGCATCCGTGGCCTAAAAGGGTATCCCACTCCTGCGATCCACAACGCCTCCTGCCCACTCCTCTCCTTTTCCTTCCTTGCCGGGTGTCAGACTCGCATCAGTCCAAAGGCTCTGGCTGCCTCCTCAGGCTCCCTGCCCTGCATCCTCCACAGGCACATTCCCCAGTGGGTCTCATGGACATTATTCCGTCTTGGCGTCTGCTTCTGAGGACCTGAGCTAACACAAGCCACGAACCAAAAGGGCAGTGTGTGTGGGAGGGACAATCCACAGGGGTCACGTTAATCCACAAACTCCTTTAACATGAATAACTGTAGAATTGTTTTGTTTTCTTCTAGATGTCTTTTTCTTCTTATATGCATTTAGCACTGTGACCTTATCCTTAACAGCACTTAGAACATTTGGGAATTTTAAACTGCTGTGTGTGGTTTGATTAATGGTTCTCTCTCTCTCTCTTGTAAGCTCCTCGAGAGCAAGGTCCACGTGCATTTTTTCCACTACTGCACGCCCAACTCCTACCATAACGCTGAACACATATTAGAGGCTCAAGATTATTAACTGAATGAATGATTAAGCCTGGTCAGGAATGTTCAGTCTACAGCAAAATTTACTTAGTAGCAAAAGAACACAACTGACAGGACACCATTATGTTACATATAGAAATCCTGGAGAGAGCAGACTTAGAATTCTAGAACACAGATAATGATCAGCTGTCCAGTGACAGTCTCACAAGATCTAATACGGAGTTGTAGCTAAGTGTAGTGCTAGCAGGGTGGGCTCCAGGCTTTGAGCAGAAATAATCAAATGTTAGCACCATGGAGATTTAAGGGGTTGTCAGCTGTCATCAACATGAGGTATTTGAAAAGCAAGCCCTGCCTCTTCCCTGTTCCCCACCAACCTGTGTTAGGGCCACCCTCCCCTCCAGCGTGGCTTGTAATTCTTTGGAACTGTGATATTACCATCTCCAGAAGGCCACTGGTAAAATGGTGTCCAGGAGGAAAAGATTTCCGATCTTTCCATGTTAATAGCACGGACTCAAAATTTCAGACCCCGCTTCCTCTCGGGACGACTCTGCACTTGTGCAACCCCGAGAGTAAGTGCCCCCTTAAATGCTGCACCCCAGGCATCTCTGGGGGCTCCCTGGTCCCCGCCCACTTGGGAGCCTATCAAGCACAGGTTCAGGGGCCCCACCCCAGAGCCGAGTAAATCATACACTTTGACCTGAGAGTTACTGATAAAGAAAGGGAAATCCATCTACTTCATTTCAAGAGGGAGTAAGTCAACCGAGTTAACTGATTAGGACTAAAAACAAACATATGTAATTTGCAAATGGCATTTCAGAAATCAGGATAACTGCCAAAAAGGATGAGCGGAAGGCAGAATACTGAACCTTAACATACTTGCATAAAATTTAATTAAAAAAATTTTTTTTGCATAGGAAAGGAGAAACATGGAGAAAAAGGAATACCTTGGATAGGAAATCAAGACACAAATTAAGCACTGCAAAGAAATACTACATAGAACTTTTTCTTTTGAATTAAGAAGGTTTATACAAATTTGACTTTGTGAACAAAACAAACCACACATTGATAATTACCATAAAGCTTTATTGATTCGAAAGTGTTTGCCACCAAAGATGAGTGACAGCATAACTCTAGTAAGAATCATAACGATGCCATAACTTGGATTTATTGCTTACCCTTACAATTAAATATTAAAACCTTTTGGGAGATCATGAGACCTCTATGATTAATTTGCAATTATTTCACTTTTCAAATACCTTTCTTAGAAATAAAAAGTATAATAAGAGTGTATTAATTTCCATTCCTAAAATTTTTTTTAAATGATTTAATTTCTCTAATTTCTTATTATCGTGATTAGAGCCTGAGTATGGTTTTTTTGTTTTGGGGTTTTTTTTAAAGATTTTATTTTTCCTTTTTCTCCCAAAGCCCCCCGGTACATAGTTGTGTATTTTTAGTTGTGGGTCCTTCTAGTTGTGGCATGTGGGATGCCGTCTCAGCATGGCTTGATGAGCGGTGCCATGTCAGCGCCCAGGATTCGAACCGGGGAAAGCCTGGGCCGCCGAAGCAGAGCACTCAAACTTAACCACTCGGCCACGGGGCTGGCCCCTAAAATTGTTTTTTAATCACAGGCTAAAGGGCATTTGTTGGGACTTACAAATGCATTTCTTTCAGGAGTAGTTTTTGCATAGACATAACTGTTAGTAAAAAAAGCAGAAAGTGATTTTTCCATACAAATTATCAGCTCCTGTAAAGTCCAGAAGTGCATTCTCAAAATGTTAAGGCATTTGGACACAAAGGACACCTCCTTGTTTCCTTGGCTTAGAGCTTGGCTTTCTGCTTAAAAGCCTCCTTCATCTTTTTGACGACAGAAAGGTCCCCTGGTCCTTCAGGCCAGTTGTCATGATCTGTTAAGTAAGTGGAAAACCTCATGTCACTTGCAAATCTATTTACCTCATTAGTCCTCTCAGTTTCCACCAAACCTTCTTGTTATTTTCCCTGGTTCACCCCTTTTCGCAGTATGAAAAAAGAAATCATTAGGACAAATGGCAAAGGTTTTGAGAAAGTCCTGGATTTGAATCCCAGCTCCGCCACTTACTAGCTTTTCCAAATTTGGACAAGTTCCTCTTCCTGAGCCTTACTTTTCTCATCTATTAAAAGGGATAACACCCTTGGTCTTTTAAAGTTGTGACAGTTAAATGTGACACCCTATGTATACCACTTCAAATAATGCAGACATTCGATAAATACTACTTCCTTAATAATAATAATTTTTAAAAATATGCTTACTTTGTACCAGGCATTTATAGTTCCTTCCCCAGCATCCAGGCTCCAATTTCCCCTTTCCAATAGACTCAGTTTCCACTTAGGAATCCATGAGGTTTGGGGGAAGTGAGCCCACTCAGATCACTGACTGATCAAAGTCAGTCAGTGCACTCCATTCCTGGACCCCCACCCCCGACCCCCGCTGTGGGTACTGGTTGAGGATGGGCATTTGTATAAGCTAGTCCAAAGCAAAGTGGATCTCAGAATTTTCTTAGGAATGCTGGAACAAAGTCATTCCCCTCCCTTCTTTGTCCAGCTGGATGTGAACCAAGGGGCACATGGCAGAAGGCGTGGAAGGCGGCCGTCCTGAAACGAGGAGAGTCAGCCTAAGGTAAAGCCGACATCACAGAAGCAAAAACGGAGGGGAAAAAAAAAGAAACTGTGCCTGCTGAGATCACTGAGCTGCTGAGGCCAGTCTTACCTGCATTTCAGGTACTCGAGGCAACAAACCCCTTTATGGCTTAAGGCAGGTCAAGTTGCAGCTAAAAGCACTGTATCTCACACAGGGCTTTAAATGTGCATTATCTAATTTAACCTTCCCAACAGCCTACAAAATAAATACTATAAGTGACCCCACATTATAGAAAAGAAGATAGAGGCTTACGGAAATCAATTTTCCCAAAATCATACAACTTATAAGGAGATGGTCAAGTTTCTATCCAGACACTCTCACTTCAGGGCTGGCAGTCTTGAAGAAGATACTATGCAATGGTCCCCCCTGATCTGTGGTTTCGCTTTCCACGGTTTCAGTTACCCATAGTCAACTGTGGTCTGAAAATACTAAATGGAAAATTCCAGAAATAAACAATTCATAAGTTTTAAACTGCACCCCATTGTGATTAGCACGATGAAATCTCTCGTTGTCCTGCCTGGAACATGAGTCATCCCTTTGTCCAGTGGATCCACGCTGTAGTCACGACCCGATAGTCATTTAGTAGCCATCTCCATGATCAGATCGACTGTCGCGGTACCCAGTGCTTGTGTTCAAGTCACCCTATTTTACTTAATAATGGCCCCAAAGCGCGAGAGTAGTGATGCTGGCCATTCAGATATGCCAAAGAGAAGTTACTATTGTTAATCTCTTCCTGTGCCTAATCTATAAATTCAACTTTCTCATAGGCATGTTGTATAGGGAAAAACACGGGGTATATAGGGTTCGGGACCATCAGCAGGCATGCACCGGGGGTCTTGGAATGGACCCACCACAGATAAGGGGGGACTACTGTGCTGAAAGGATGAATATTCCTACTCATAATCCGGGGGGAGTATATTCTTGAAAGACAGAGGTGGCTGCTTTCCTCAAAAAATGAAAAAACATTTTTATATTTATAAAGTGTGAGAATTACCAGAGAAAAGCATTTCACTGGAGGCCTGGAGAAACAGGCACCAGGAATTTCTCTTCCTTTGTAAAGGAAAAACAATGCAACTCACCTTAACAAATACTGACTCAACTCTACCGCGGAGGGAAATGGAAAGAGTCTCTCCTGCCCTCCATACTTTAAAGACTATCAGAAAACAAAACTGCATAACCATGTAGCCATTCCTGTCTTTCCAACCCACATCCTTAAAACCACAGGATCTGATGCGCATCACTACATTGATGTTATTAGTAAAGAAATATGTATGGGAGGGGAAAATAATAAGTAATATTAAAGTTCCATACTAATTTTTCATTAATGCAAAGAAGGTCTTAGGCCTCAATTAGACTGCTAGCATGTGACAGAGTAGACTGAACCTTGGTCCCTGACATGAAATTGAAATACACATGCATTACAGTGGTTACCACATCTTAATGTGATAGTAGCCACTTAATCGACTATCTTTAGCAATAGTTCAAATACATTTGAATTCTATGTCCTTTTCTACATTTTGGGAGTGATTAGCTTGGATGTGCCTTTTAAATTCCATGGATTTGTTTTATCAATCGTAAAATTAGGATCCTGGACTCATTTTTTAGGCCCCTTCCAACCCTAAAGTTCTATGATCTAGCCATGAGATACACACACACATGCACATCATGAGATACACAGACACAGACACAGACTTTTGTGTAGAATATCTACATTTGGTTGAGCCTTAAAAAACCATTGTTTTTGTGCATCAAAAATAAATGAGTAAAGCAAATCATATGATTTCCCTCAATATATATCCCAAAGATAGTCAAAAATAGCACCATACCATCCCTGGCCACTTAACAGGTCTGACACTTCTGCTCAGATATACAAGCCAATTACTGGAGGAACAAAGAGGAATTAATTCTAAAAGATTACGGCAGCCTCTTTTCTATCTCCTCCTTGTACATACATGCTCATACTGCGAATATTTTTCAAGGTTCCCATTCCACCAACCTATGCACACACAAAAATTTTCAATATATAAGCTCACTTCTATAATAAAAATATTTAGGTATTTTCTGTGACTAGGAACACTTCCTTTAAAAATCATATCGTGAATACAAACATTATGCACATTTTGATATGGTACAAGAGAAAACCTTCATCTCTTCAGTAACTACTCAAGAAATTTTGAGAACATGAAGAGGAAGAAGCATAAAGTGCGTGCCTACTCATTTCTGGCCTGCTCACCTGGTATCTCTTCCATGTGAGTGTACAGAGACTGGCCCCCATCCACGGCCACTAGCTGTCCGGTGATAAAGGAAGCTGCAGGAGACAGCAAGAAGCACACCAAGGGGGAGACCTGGAAACAGAAGCACACACACATACAGAAAAGCAGACACTCCCCATTTGGGGTGCTTCCCATTCCCCAGTCAACGCATCTCAGAAGCGGCACGTGACTTCCACAGTGTGTGCGCAGCAATGTGACAGGACAGAGACACCTGCCTTTTTTGCTGTGAGCATCACTAATAGCAGGTCAGTGACCAGGGTGGCAAGATTTGAAGGAGCCTTAGACAGTGTCAAATAAGCTACACAATGTGAAGAAGCCAGCAGTGAAGAGCGTGCTTAATCTTTGCTCTTTCCTATTTCAAACAAGTTGGTTCCTTCCACACCTTGCACTGCCCACCGCAACCCCGCTTTTAACCGCCACCGCATGCCTTTTGTATTTTTGCCCCTGAAATAGTCAATGTGTCCGCAGAGCAATCAACTGGCACTCTACTTTGTTCAGTCCATGGTCCTGCGGGCTGACAGCCTAGCAACTCAGACCAGGGGAGTTTCTACAAGAGGGACTTCAGAGTCCCACTGCATCCCCTAAAAGTTCAGATTGTTAATGATGAGGTCAGCAACACCTACTCCCAAAACCAAGAGAAAGAGGAATTATGTCACTGGATGGAAGGGACTCTCCCATGAGGCTGTTGGCACAGGTGGAGTTTCTCAAAGGGTCAGCCCACACGCCTACACTAGAACCCCGCGGATCCTTACTGAAGCTCCAGACTCCTAGCCCTGCTTGAGATCTTCGGAATCGTAAGCTCTGGGGCTGAGCCGCCAGAGGCTGCGATTTTCTCAAGCTCCCACGCAGGGCCGGGCTCGGGTGAGGCACCGAGGGTGCACCATTTAAGGAGGGGCTCACTCCCAGGGCAGACCCAGCCCTGCACAGCCCTGAGAGGGACGGCTGCTGAAATGTTGCACGCCAGGCCTGGCTGCCTCACCCTAGGCCTGGTCTTGTACCTGGCACTGTAGCCATGTCTGGTTACAATCTCTCTGAGACCCTGGAAGGCAGGCATAGCTTCTCTCCATCCTGTGTCCCCAGGAGCTAGTACAGAATTGCAGTAAAACAGTGGCCACTAGCCATATGGCACTACCAAAACATGGTCCATGTGACTAGTCCAAATCAAGATGTGCTGTAAATCTAAAACACATCCTAGATTTTGAAGACTTGTTATAGAAAGAAGAATGCAAAATATCTCATTAATAATTTTTATATTGATTATGTGTTGAACGATAATGTTTGGGACATATTGGGTTCAATAAAATATATTATTAAAGCTAATTTCACCTCTTCTTAGTTTTCTTAATGTGACTACCAGAAAGTTTAAAATCACATATGTGACTACTATTATATTTCTGTTGGACAGAGCTGGTACAGAATTAATAATTTAAAAGTTCCCACATTCCTGGGCAAGGGCAGATGGCTCTGAGCCATGGTAGCAAGTATACTCTGCCCTGCTTCGTCAATGACAACTCACCCTGTGGACATGTTTTGTTAGCCAACCAATCAGTGCAAGCTCCTCAACTCTGAAAGTCAGCCCGTCGGGAAGACTCGCTCCAGTAAGTTCCTTTCTGAGTGCCAAACAACAACCCTCTCACCCAAGGAGCCGTGACCTCCAGGAGTCTGCAAATCCCTCAAACCACACTTCCCCCAGAAAAAGAAAAAGATGAGTCATCTGCTCTGCTCAAAGAGACTGTGCCTGACCAGCACAGCACTGCCTTCCTGAAAGACGCAATACATGTGGCTTTGTGCTGAACTTGGTTGCAAATATTGAGCGGTGGCCCCATCCTTTGACAGTGTTTAGTGTAAAATAAGCACTTAGTAAATGTTTACAGAATGAAGGAATCTTTATGCATCTCTTCCCCCAAAATAAGGGGATATTGCATCACTGAGCTCCTAATACAGTGTTTTGCCCACAGATGAGGCACCATTAAATAAGACCGAATTGAACTGAAACTATTTGCTAGGTAAAAGATATATAAATATTGAAGATGCCTGGTTTACTTGTGGAGCCCAACATGGAGCTGAAATAAACTAATAAAATTTTTATAATTACCAAATTAACTAGGCACTATTGTGACATCTTCAGATAGATTCTTAACTTTCATTGTAATGGAATCCATTTGACGATGGACTTGAAGTTACTAGTCATTCACAAGAGTTTTATCAATGAATAAACACCATCAGAGACTAGCAACTGGTACCCACTTTATCTATGTGGATAATGCCTCTGTTAGCTCAGTTATCTCCTTACTTTCAGCTTTGTTTATTAAAGATCACGGGGGGTTTTAAATAAGTAGGCTTGGGTTTGAACCCCAGTACCATGAGCCAAGTATGGCCTTAGGCAAATTACCTCATTGGCCCTTAGTTTCTTAATTTGTAAAATGAGTGTACAGTATCTCACAAGCCATTTGAAGGGCCTTCCCTTCCCAATAGCCCTGAGGGACATCATGAGAGCTCTAGGCAACTCCTTTTAATTCTGACCCTCCTGATTCTACCCCAGGGACTGTCACTCAAAATAAGGCAACTCCTTGATACCCACTGAGGCCAATGGCCTGGTGTGAAAGTTCTGCCCCAAAAGGGACATTAGTGATTAGCCGGGGCAATCAGAGTATCTTGGAAACCTGACCAAGCGAAGCTAGGATACAATCAGGCAGAGGCCAAAACTCTCCCCTCATTTCACAGCAGCCAGCATCATCTCTCCTCCCCTTCACAACTAAAGTTTTTAAAGGTATTACCTACATTAGTCAAAGCACAGTCAGCATCACCCAGGGCACACCTAAGACCTTCGCAGGAGATTTGTAAGGTCAAAACTATATTCAAAGTAACACTAAGTCCTTATTTGTCTTTTTCAGGGTGTTGACATTTGTACTAATGGTGCCAAAGCCAAGGTGGGAAAGAGTGCTGAGCGTCAGCACCAATCACGGCAGGCGGGTGGAGCTGAGCTAGTGGTCATGCACCAGGAGTCAGTGTGCTCTTCACCGGCAAGCACTCACGGTGGGGAAAGCCTGTTTCACTTCAGCATGTCCTTGTTCAAGCGGTAAAAATCGTGAATTGTATTAATCTCGACCATTGAGTACACGTCTTTCTAATATCCTGTGTGATGAAATGGGAGTTAAACACGGAGCTCTTCCGCTGCACAGAGCAGTCTAACGGTTGTCAGAGGAGGAGAACGTGCGCTTGAGCTGTGCACTGAACTAGTCACTTTTCCATGAAACACCATTTTTCACTTGAAAGAATGACTAACAAACTATGGTTATTCACACTTAAGTATTTGGCAAACATTTTTCCAAAAATGAACAAAGTAAGACTGTCACTTCAAAGGAAAACAGCTGACACGATTTGTTGTCAATGATAAGATCTGAGCTTTCAAGTGAAAGTTAGAATTCTGGAAAACTTGCGCTTGTCACCTTGAGCTTTACTGTTTCCTCATAGTTAAGGATTTTTTCTGAAGAGATAGGTGGTGATACTCACAAATGTGATCTGATATTGTGCCATGGATTGTGTGTCAACAGTGTCAACGTTTGTCAACGTTTAGAAGATCCGAGTGTAACAGAGGATAGAAAGTTCACTGACGTGGTTTCAGATTCCGCATTGCAACTAATCTTTAAGAAAAAGCCACTTGTCGAATATCAAAGACGACTATCCAGAATTATCTGAAAAAGCTGTTAAAACGCTCCTCCCTTTTCCAACTAAACATCTGCACAAAGCCAGATTTGCTTCATACACTTCGTTCTTTTTTTCATTACCTTTTAAGACCAATATTGCTGGCATTTAAGACAGCTATTGATTTTTACATACTTAAATCTGGCTCCCTTACAGAAATCACATATGGGACTTCATAGGGGCATAACTGTCTGACTTGCTCTGGGTCCTGTGTACCGACAAATGCCACGTGATAAAACAATATAGTTAGAAAGTGCCATGAAATAATAAAAACATGCAGTGCTTAATTCACACCGTATTCGCTCTTGAATAAAGACTGCTGTCAATATTCAAACCACAGCCAGGATATTGCCAAGAGCCAGAAGGTGCAGGGGAAATGGTTTGGTGGCAGTGGGGGCAATCATCTCTCCCAGGCAACCAGACAACGTAAAAAGGACACCAAAATGTTACAAATGTCCGAAGCATAAAACAAAGTAATTCTAATCATGTTAGAAATACACATTACCTCCTCAGGAACTCCAATTCTTTTAGCTGGGACTTTCTGAAAATATCCTCCAAATTGATCGTGTGCCAAATCTCCATAATTGTCAAAAGCAGTCTGGGAATAAATGATTCCCTATATTTAAAAATAAAACAGGAACGAAACAAAGTGCATAAAATTACATTTTAATTATAAAGACGCCAAGGCAGTCTGTTGACCAATACCAAAAATTAAGTGGTGTAAGTTTAATAAGAAAGTTAAAATTTCTAATACTAATTTTTCTCAATATTGTCAAAGAAGTGCAGTCAACCACTACCACAAATGGATTCTCTGAATGCTCGTCTTCTGACTTCCCCTCCCCTGATAACTGGCCAAGCCCTGGAATTTTTCATAAAAGACGTGGTTTCCAAAAGCACAATTCTATGAGCAGATCAGAGAGGCCTTCACTGGGAAGAACGGGGTTGGGGAGTGGATTCTGTCTCCCACCAGCTTCTCGCTTTCCGACGGAAGCCTGGGCTGTGGTTACGTGATACTTAGCAAAGGTAATATTTTCATGGCTTTTCACCTAGAGTGAAATCACAAATGACACATTTGAATCCAATATAAATAAACTAAAATTTTAATTATTTAAGAATTCTTATTCAGCTTTCATTAGCTTTGAAGGGTTTATAAAGCCATGGAAGCTACCCAGAAAACTGTATAACACAGGATAAAGCTATTTGTTATTGGCTGATAACTACAACAGAGGTTATGGGGAGCAGAGGAGGAAACAGGAGGAGTGAAAGTAAGATGAGCAAAGTTGGCAGGCGGTGCTAATTACTCCAAATGAGACTGGGGCGATACACTGGTTTCCAATTAAACAATTCGTAACCTTATATTTAAAGAGGATGGAATCTTCTAGAAGTATTAAGGTTTAGCTATTAAACCTAAAAATGTCTCTGGAGGACAAACACGACTTTAGTATTGTGCAATAACACTAACAACCCTTTCAAGTTTTCAATAAACGCACTTTTGGAGGTTATTCCAAGGTATCAACATTAAGAATGGGACAATATTTAATTTGTCCTATAAATATCTGAGCTTAATATGGGTAAGGTAGTGTCAGCTGTGAAGGAATCAAGGGATATGAAGTATCTGGCAAGGAGCCTGCAATTTGTTAGAGATGAGATTTCTCTACTAATGTCAAGAAGTCAGTTTGCACTTAGTTCCCATTGGGTAGCATGGATAACATCCATAGATATCACACAGATAAATCTATAGATAATATCCACAGATATTAGAGAGTTTCCAATGGAGGGATGATCACTATCTCAGCAATGACCAGGAAGAGAGGGGATGACAGAGAAGGGGATTTGAGCCGAGTTTTGTTGGATGAGTGAGATGTCGCATTTAATGTCTCTCTTGGAGTATACGGCCAATATGTACTACGCAAGGAAGCTTAAGCTCTATCTTTAGTGCACAAAAAATGACAGATTTTTAAGTTGAACATATTGTGAATTTTTTCCCCTATCATTTACATTATGTTTCAGTGAAATTTTCTCTTGACTTCCAGTTGATCTTTAACTGGGAGCTCCTTCCTAGAACTTTGACTTTTAAGTTTCTCTCTCTCTTAATAAAGCATTGATGATATATATCAAGAAATAACACAAAAATCTGTAAAAATTCATTCTCTAGAGTCATGGTTCTCAACCTTCACTGTGCATTTGAATTTCCTAGGAGGCTTTTAAAAATACCAACACCCAGATTCCACAGTTTGGAGTCAAACTTATATATCACCATTTTTTAAACATTTCACAGATAATTCCAATATATAGCCAGGACTGAGAATCACTGCCTTAATTTACCCTTCTTGACAATTTGTAAATCAAAGAATACTTCTTTCTGATTTTACATATTTTTAAAAGCAAATCTTTTCCGGTATACATGCATATTAACAAATTAACAACACGAATGGAGTCGGAAGAGCACATCTGTCAACAGCTTTCATCTATCTAGAACATTTACCTACAGGAGCAACACAGTTAATCCTCACTCCGCTGCTGGCCCACTCCAGAGCTAAGGTTTTGGTGAGGTTGTAAACACCTTCTCTGGCAGCTCCGCTGTGCCTTTCAAAGACAAAACAGAAACATCACAATAGCTTCTGTTGAGTATTTCTCTCATTAACGAAACTGAAAAGTGTGTCAATGACCTGTCAGAGCCCACGAGAGCATTCTTATGATGAGTCTGTATCTTTTTTGAGTCTCTGTCTGAATAATGAGAAAGAACTGAGTCCTTCGATCCTAAAGCCAGGCCACAGCTGTCTAATAGTCGAACAAATGTCACCGTGTGTAGGCCCATGTAAGATCCCCCAAATCACCATGAGCAGAAGAGGAATGTTTGAAGAACTTTCTGTTACGGAGGAAAACAAACAAATTGGTAATTTTGAAGCTTACAAGTGTGGTTATTTTTTAAATCAATTTTAGATAATAAGAGATATGAAATTCATATATCAGGCTGGAAGTAGTATCCATAGACTTTCTAAACATACCAAAATTTAAATAAATTGTAATATATTTCCACATAGGAGGTTCAAAACACTTAGGACTGCATCGATATGGGGTCTTGTGAAAAAGGCACAGATATGGGGCTGGCCCTGTGGCCGAGTGGTTAAGTTCGCGCGCTCCGCTGCAGGCGGCCCAGTGTTTCATTGGTTCAAATCCTGGGCGCGGACATGGCACTGCTCATCAGACCACGCTGAGACAGCGTCCCACATACCAGAACTAGAAGGACCCACAACGAAGAATATACAACCATGTACCGGGGGGCTTTGGGGAGAAGAAATTTTTTAAAAATTTTGGAAAAAAAAAGGTACTGTTATACTATGGCTTAGAATTTCTAATTACAAGGTCCTCAGAACTAAGTGTGTGAGATCTGGGGCTGTATCCACTTCTCACCAGAGAGCACCTGCAGAGCCCAACCTTCCTGAAGAAAACCCACCTCGGTCCCAGTGTTGGCTATGCAGCCCTGGTGGGACTCCAGGCAGAAGCTAACTGCTCCATCTGTGAGAATGACCTGAGTGACCCCCATCACCATCATATGTGGCCACAACTTCTGTTGCTACCGCATCCAACAGTCCTGCGTGGATCAGCAGGACAGGTTCCCTTGCCTTGTCTCTGGCCACAAATGCTAAGAGGAGCCCTTCTGGAGAAACACTCAGCTGAGAGGGATGACTGAAATGGCCAAGCTCCTCCACACCAGCGGGAGCAAGAGGCAGGGCAGGAACAGACGTGCTTGTGTGAGAAGCACAATCAAGTCTTGACTCTTTTCCCTGACGAGGACGTAGAGGACTTGTGTCCCCTTGCACTCAGCCCCGTGACCACCAGGACACCACATGATGTCCTGTCTCTCATCACAGGAAGACTCAGCAGTTACACGGAGCTCCTGAAGAAGCAAGGGGCAGACATTCAGGAACTAGGAGCTGCCCAAGAGAGAAGGCCGCCAGGACTGAGAGCGAGAAGTGGAAAACCAGAGAGAGAAATTATTCTCTGAATTTGAGCACCTGAACCAGTTTGGAGAACATGAGCAAGAGACAGTTGAAGATTAGCAGACTGTCACCCCAAAATACGACTGCAGGAGTTCAGGACATGCCACCCCAAAATACGCTGCTTTGGCATGTTGATTATTTTGAGCTGTAGGCACCTGAAAACAGCAAATGCAGGCAGAGGCTTTCTCTGAACTCTCCTTATCTGCCTAAAGACAGATGCTCCAAAGGAACTCAACGGTCATCAGGCCCCTCCCCGGGAGTCTCATTAACAAAGGAAGATGGACTCTGGTCACAGGAGAGGAGGCTAGAAGCCATAGCACACCCAGACGAACTGTGAGAAACTCTCACATCTCCCGTCTATCGGTCCAAGAGCCCATTCATCTTTCCGAAAAATCACCTACTGTCCCCTAAAACGACTCCATCTTCCTCCCTTTCCCTAGTAAGATGGTATCTAAGTCTGAATTCTAAGCCACCTTGGGAGTGACTCATGTTTCCCTGGGTATCTCCCATGTACACATGACGTATACATGTGAATAAACTTCTGAAAAGACTTTTCTCTTGTTAATCTGTCTTGTATTACAGGGTCTTAGCCAAGAACTCAGAAGGGTAGGGGGAAAATTATTTTTCCTCTCCTATACAGTTCTCTCAGGAATAGCTGATGAAGAGGACATTCAAGAGAAACTCAGTGCAAACGTAACAGCATTTTCAGACTACACTTCCACACTCAAAGATCTACTAAACGAGGTAGCAGAGAAGAGTGTGATGCCAGAAGTGAAACTGCTGATGGATATCAAGAGTAGCAGCGACCTGTGAAAGCCTAGAAGCCCCAGCTCTCTACTCGTTCCAGTTAGGACAGGAAGACGTGGTCATCCTCTGCAGCATTTGGCTCTGCAGAAAACCATGCAGAAACTGAAAGAGGTACTCTGGATCTCCAAACTGCACATCTTAATCTGCTTGTCGCAGAGGACAGAAACATCTGACATTTGTGAAGAAAAAGCAAAGAGTTCATCGGAATCCATGGGGATTTGGGGCTTATCCAGGAGTCCTGGGTTCTGAAGGATTCGACTGCAGCCGGCATTACTGCGAGGTCCAGGAGGATGATGAGCCTGAGTGGACCGTGGGGGTCTGTAAAGACTCCCTTTCCAGGAAGGGAAAGTGCCCCCATTCAAGACAGAACAGATGGTGGACGATTCCAAATGGGGACTTTGTCACACGAGGCGCTGTTCGTCACTCTTCCAAGAAAAGCCCAGAGGGACTGGCATTTATCTGGACTAGGAATTGGGTGAGATTTCATTTTACCATTTGAATGACAGGTCTCACATCCATTCTTTCGCTGATAAATTTTCTGAAGTCCTATGACCTTTTTCTTATCGGATGTGATTTAAAACCTCTTACAATCTGTGCAATCACAGATTGTGAGTGATAAGCTGCCTTGAAGGCTGTTCCATCGCTCCACTTTCCTCCTGTGGCTGGTAAACAGGAGGCAGAATGATGTAGAACTCTCAGTGAATCTAGCACTAACAAATCCTTTAAACATTTCTATGAGTTAAGCACATAAACAAAATCATACATTATATGCTCTTTTTCATCTGGCTTCTTTCACTCAGAATAATTTCTTTCGAGATTTATCCATTTTGGTACATGAGTCAATAATTCATCCCTTTTTATTTCTGAGTAGTAGTCCATCATATAAACATACCATAATCTACTTATTCATTCACCCACTGATGGGCATTTGGGCCACAAACTGTCTCTCCACGGGAGGTACGAGTTGCTTTTTGGCTCATCTCTTGCCCTTGTACTTATTGACAACGATCTAAAAGATGAGCAGGTCAGTCTAAACTCCTCTGCACAGACAGTAATGGGAAACAGACTAGTCTTAGACAGCACTGAAAAGAAAACGATCAGAACTCCCAGAGAAAACTGCATAAAGACAGCAATATAGTTCAAACACACACACAAACGACACTCAGATAACCTTTCAACAAATGAAAAGATGCTCTACTGAGAATATCATTTCCTGCCCATCAGAGTTGTTCAGAAGCTGACAAGATACATTTTGGGTGAGGCTGTGGGGAACAGGCATTCTCATACATCGCTCGTGGGTATGCAAAATGGGAAGAAATTCGGAAATACCTAACGGTATGCATTTACCCTTCACCCAGCAATCCAACTTCCAGGACGTACCCTGAAGATAGACCTCCACAAAGATAACAAATACATACAATGTTATTCATTGCAGAATTATTTGTAATAGCAAAACATAGAAACAACATAAATTTCTATTAAATTTGAGACAATGCGAGCATTTGAACAATGAATTTGAAAAGAAATCCATGATTCCATAGTGGTATACCAAAAAGATTAATAACGATAACGATAATAACAATAAATAGAGAGAGAACGGATGGTTATGGCGGAAAAGTCTTTTTATGGAAGAAGATCAACTAATAAATATAGAAGCAATTATAAAATCAAAAAAATCAACATTTTCACATCCTTAATGTAAAAAGTATTTCAAGTCAGAGTCAACAATGGCTGCTAAAATTCTGATGGCAAAAAGAATATTAACACAGTGCCAAAATATCATCCTACAGATTACTTACTAATTATAAAGGAATTAAGATCACTATCTTAACTTAGTTCCCAGGTTATTTCTGGGGTAAAAGCGTATAGAGGACTTGACTTTGTACCTTATTTTACATATATATATAAAACATATATTTATATGTTATATAAATATATTTATATTTGTAAATCGATATATAGTTTTTATAACACTAAGATAGATCCATTTCAGAAAAATAGAGATTCTATGTTGGAAAAACTTCTTTAAAATTTTAATTTAAAAAATGGAAGGAATCAGAACTATAAGATACTTAAAAAATCAGCAAAACTAATTTTTTAAAAACCAGACCTTTTAACAGCTAAACTTGTGGTTTTCAAGTAGCTTCCTGGCACCTTGTTGTTGTTCAACTGTTCTATTTGAATGGCCTTTTAGACTATTATGCAAGAAGCTGCTGAGACAGAAGGCCAAAGGAGTTCACTGACGCCCTTTCTTTAAAAAAAAAAAAAATCAGTTTCCAATGTAAAAATTTATCAAAATCAGAATAAGAGCCAAATATATGTCAAATTCCGATGTGGAGTAACAATTGAGCAGTCCTATCGAAAACTGAATATTCACAGTATTCAAACCTAAATTAACATAGATTAATTTCATTTCCACATTTTATTTAAAAAAGATGTCCCCAGATACAATGGATAGTTGAGTAACATTTGGATTAGGGTTGCCAGATAAAATACAGGACATTCAGTTCAATTCAGATAAACAATGAATAATTTTTTGCATAACTATGCCCCATGCAATATTTGGGACATACTTACAAAAAAGAATTATTTAACTGAGCATCGTGGTTATTTTTCTTTTCTTGGTAAATCTGGCAACGCTACCATGAATGGGAATTTTTTAGAAGTACATTTTTAAAGTTCAAATAAAGGGAAATGCTAAGTATTGAGATTACAACTCATTAAAGGATTAATGATCTTGACTTAAGGAATTTTCCCTACCCTACTCTCCCAATTTAGGGGACAAAACCCAAACACATAGGAAAAAAATATATAAAAATGCTTACGACATTCCCGGATATCCATTTTTAGTAAGGATAATGATATTGACAATAGATCCTCCATGCTCTTTCATCCAGGACTTATAAACTGCAGGAAACAGAAAAATGACAATCATATGAAATAGTGTCCTGACCCTTCTCTGATCCTCTGTTCCAACATGCTGCTTCCTTGGTACTTTAAAAATTTAATTCTCTCTTTTTTATAAAAAGCCTGATTGAAGTACAATTTGCATATCATAAAATTCATCCAATTTTTGTGTACAATATTTTTAATAAATATACAGAATGGGCAGCCATCACCACAATCCAGTTTTAGTACATTTCCATCACCCTAAAAAGTTCCTTTGTGCCGATCTGAGCTTAACCCATTCCCAGGCAAACACTCAGCTACTTTCCGTTTCTATGGATTTGATTTTTCTGAACAGTTCATATAAATGGAATCACTTAATATGTGGTCTTTTGTGTCTGGCTTCTTTCACTCAGAATAATGTTGTGAGGTTCATCTTGTACCATATATCAATAGCTACTTTTTATTGCTGAAGGGCATTCCATTGTATAGTCATGCCATATTTGATTTATCCATTCACCAGCTGATGAACATTTGGTTGTTTCCACTTTTGGGTGATTATGAATCTTTGGGTGGTCATACATTTTTACATCCCTTGGGAAGACATCTAGGAGTGGAACTGCTGGGTCATATGGTATTCTATGTTTAATTTTTTGGGGAACTGCCAAACAGTTCTCCAAACTCTCTCTACCGTTTTACTTTCCTACCAGAAATGCATGAGGGTTCCAGTCTCTCCACACTATTGTTGTCTGACTTTCGGTCTGTAGCCACTGTCATGGCTGTGAAGTGGTTATCTCACTGAGGTTTTGATTTGCATCTCCCTAACGACTAATGGTGTTCAGTATCTTCTCATGTGCTTATTAGCCATTCATAGATCTTCTTTGGGGAAATATCTGTTCGAATCTTTTGCCCAATTTTTCACTGGGTTGTTTTCTTATTATTGAATTATAAGAGTTATTTGTGTATTCTGGATACAAGTCCTCTATCAGATAGGGGATTTGAAAATCTTTTCTCCCAGTCTGTGACTTAACTTTTCATTTTCTTAATGATGTCTTTTGAAGCACAAATGTGTTTAATTTTGATTAAGTCCAGTTTACCAATTTTTTTTTACTTTATAGATGGTATCTTTGGTGGTGTATTTTAGGACTCTGCCTAACCCAAGGTAATACAGATTTTCTTCTTTGTTTGCTTCTACAAGTTTTAGAATTTTACTTTTAGCATTTAGGTCCACGATCCATTTTGAGTTCACTTTTATTTACACTGTGAGGCAAAGGTGTTTTTGCATGTGGATATCCAATTGTGCCAGAACCATTGGTTGAAAAGACTATCATTTCCCCATAGAATTGCCTTAGCACCTTTAAAGAAAATCAACTGACCATGAACATAAGGTTTATCTCTGGATTCTCAATTCTATACCATTGGTCTATAAATCCATCCCTATGCCAGTACCACACTGTCTTAAAATCAAGAAGTATATATCCTCCAACTTTCTTTTTTTACAAAATTGTTTTGGCTATTCTGGGTTCTTTGCATTTCCATACATATTTTAGGGTCAGCTTGTCAATTTCTGCAAAAATTGATAGGGATTGCACTGAACCTATAGATCAATTTGGGCAGAACCACCATCTTAACAACATTGAGTCTTCCAATTCATAAACACAGAATGTCTTTCCACTTATTTAGATTTCATTTCTATCAGCAATATTTTGTAGTTTTTAAAAGCATATGTCTTACACTTGGTATGTTAACTTTGTTCTTAAATATTTTATCCTTTTTGAAGCTGCATTTAAAATTTAGGCATCCATCCTATTCATATAAATCAAGACAATGCTAAAGATGGACTTCAGGACTTGCTTCAACAGAAATCTAATTTTTAAAATGTAAAGACCAGAGAACAATTCAACAGTCATTCCTATTAAAAGGTTAAGCAAAAGTAAGGATGCCTTCCCATTAATACTTAATGCTTTCCTGTGAGTGCTTACCAATTCATAATTTATAACAGAAAAAAAGAAGGTAAAGTCACTATAAAAGACATACAATGCAATATGTTTTAAATCTATGACAACTTTTTCACATTGCTGAAATTGGGATATGTCTTACAATTGGTGGCATCTTACAAATAGCAAGGTTTTTATTGTTCAAAATATACAGGAGGCGGCCCCGTGGCTGAGTGGTTAAGTTCGCGTGCTCCACTTAGGCGGCCCAGGGTTTCCCTGGTTCGAATCCTGGGTGCAGTCATGGCACCGCTCATCAGGTCATGCTGAGGTGGCGTCCCACAGACCACAACTAGAAGGACCCACAACTAAAAACATACACAACTAGGTACTGGGGGACTTTGGGGGGAAAAAGGAAATAAATAAATAAAATCTTAAAAAAAAAAAAAATATATATATATATATAAAATGATGGCGCATTTCACAATTGGCTGTATTAAATACAGTAGTTATTTTTAGATAATATAACTATATACTCAGAAAACCCAAAAGACTCATTTGACAAACCATTAGATAAAGCTACAAATCATTAGATAAAGCTAGAAGATCCATTTGAAAAAATAATTCTTTTGTAAACCAACAACAATCCAGTTGAAAAATAATTGGAGAAAGAGTCCATTCAAAATACCAATAGCCATCAAAAATATCTAGGTATAACCCTAATAAAAAATATGAGATTGACATGACAAAAAAACACAAACTTTTGCCAAAAGATCAAAAGAAGAGTCCATTAATGAAAAGACATTGTGATGTGGAGACAATATTTGAACATGTGGATTATTTCCAAATTATTAAGTTCAGCACAATTCTAATCAAATTCCCCAACAAGATTTCTGAGGAAGAAATATGAATATAAAATTCATTTGAAAGAATAAATGGTCATGCATAGCCAAGAAAAGTTTGGAAATACAAATAAAGCCATATGTATCATATCAAATATTTTAAAAACTTATAAAACTATTTGATACTAGCAGAAGGAAGGAGAATAAGTTTATATAAACTACCTACACAGACTTTCTGCTTCTGGTTGAATACTACCACACATTTTGTAACTCTGAAATCTTCCCTGACACTTCTCCAGGGCTATTCTTCAAGATGTTTCAGATGGTCATCAGATGCCAATCACAAGTCCAGGTTGTCACTTGTGCTTCTGACTCACTGGCTATAAATCAGAGATTCCCATGACTCCCTCCTTGGATTCAACTAATTTGCTAGAGTGGCTCACACAACTGAGGAAACTAGTTTACTTACTAGATTACCAGTTTATTACAAAGGATTATTGATCAACAGGCAGATGAAGAGATACATAGGGCAAGGTCCTCAACAAACGAGCTTCTGTCCTCGTGGACTTTGGGGTCTGGCCCAGTGGCAGCTGGAAAGCTTCTGGCTCCCCATCCTGGAGGTGCTCTGAACCTTGGCCTTTTGGGTTTTTATGCAGGCTACACTATATGGGCATGACTGTTTTATCACTGGCCACTGGTGACTGATTCAACTTCCGGCCCCTCTCTCCTGCCTAGAAATCAGGGGGTGGGACTGAAAGTTCCACCCCTCTAATCACGGTTGGTCCCCTAGCAACCAGTCCTCCCCATCCTTAGGGCCTTTCCAAAACTCACCTCATTAACATAAACTCAGTTGTGATTGAAAGGAGCCTGTTATTGAATAACAAGACACCCTTTCACCTTTATGGTTCTGAAGCCATTTTAGGAGCTGAGGGCAAGAGACCAAATGTAACAAAAGATACCCCCATTGCTCTTACAGCTCAGGAAATGCCGAGGGTTTGGGGAGCTGTGAGCCTGGAACCGTGGACAGAAGACCAAATTATATAGTATTGATTATAAATCACAATATCACAGTCCCTAATGGGTATGGAACTACCATACTATTCCTACACTACCTACCTGGACTTTTTATGTGAGGGAGAAATAAACTGTCCTATTTAAGCTCCTGTTTTTTCTGGGGTCTCTACAGAGGAGCAGCCAATCGCATACCACAACTAATACAGAGCTTTATACTTACTAGTAGATAAAGATGAAGCCTGGGACTGCCTCCAAGATGTCTCACTTACAGATACTAAGAATGCAAAGCCTACCCCACGCTGAGGTGAAGACCCCTTGGGTCAGAATTATACTCAGTCTACATTTTCCATCATCAAAACGTCTTTGATAGTTTGTAAGGAAACCCTTGAGTCACTCAACTCCAGAAGTTTAATATTACCACCTATGAAACATAACCTTTAATCCAAAGACAATGCATGCATGCCAATTAGGGTCAGTCAGAAAGAATGTGGACTCTGTCTGGCATTCTCCTTGAGGGTGTGACTGACTTAATTACCAGGCCATTAAACAGATTCATTTCTTAAAAACAAAGCGTCAGGGCTTTCTTTAATTTTATGAACATCTTTGTACCGCTCCTTCGTAATTTTCTCATGATAAATGCCTACAAATAAAATTGTAAGATCAAAGGATACCCACATTTTCTAAATGTAGCCAAATTACCCTCCACAAATGTAGTAATCTACATTCCTATGTTGTATGTGAACAAATCAGGGCAGTAAATGTTAATGATGTGGAGCTTCTGAGCCCCTAACAATTTCTCTTTCAGGATTCTCTTTGGTCCTTAAATAAAGACATCTTGACTTTTGGAGTTACTGATCACACTTGCCTGCTTTGCACATGTAGAAGGTGCCCGTCAGGTTGGTTTCGATCACGGCATGCCACCCTTTTGCAGTGATGTGTTCAGCAGGAGCTAGGAACTGGCCTCCTCCATTGTTTACCAAGAAATTGATTTTACCGTAAATATCTAAGGTGGATTTGACCAAATTATTCACCTAAAGAAAAACATTAAAAGTAAACTGGTTAATAACCTAACTTGCTACATGGATTGACGGCTTGCTCTAGGAGAGTAACAGAACTTGCAGTCTCATGCAGTGAGTGGTAACTCCAACTACAAGACCCACAGATCATAAAGCCAAATTTGCAATCTTGACGACAAGATTTATCCAGGGGCCTGGATCACTCCTAAGTAAGGCAGGCCTCTATGATATTAATTTGTGAACTACCAATCCAGAATAATGGATAGTGATGAAATCAGCTTAAAATTAACATCAAGAAATGACTAAAAGGGCAAAAGGCACAAAAGATGGTGTCGCTGAGACTTCCTCATCTTTCTTAGCTTCCCCACCTTGCTCCCTCCCACTCTCCTGAGGTCACTGACTTCAGAATTGATTAGCAGAAGGCTCTCCCTTAATGAATCTCATCCAAGACAGCCACCGCAGGGAACTGAAGCGCAGTCAGGGTAAGGAACCACTACTATCAGTTAACGTGAATGAATACATGATTCATTGCATTTAAAAGCACACTACCTCCTCTTCTCTCCGGATGTTGCATTTTATGGGAGTGACTTGAGCCTGGTTGGAGGGGGGCAGGCTGGCCTTCAGCTCAGCTGCAGCAGATTTCAATCTATCAAAGTTCCGAGATGCAATGACCACATTACACCCTGAGAAGAAAACAGCAAAGAACAAATCAGTAAGCTTCCATTAGTTGTGTAAACTCCAAAAACAACAAAGTTTAGAAAATATTTCATGTGTTCCTGTAAAAAAGATGAATTAAGACTTCTGCTTTTGGTCAAGATGGAATAATGGGAATTGAATTTACCCTCCAGACGAAAACAACTCAAAAACTGGACAAAGTCTGTGCAACAATGATGTTCAGGCATCGGACATCAAATAGCACAGGACAGTGGTCTCAGAGAGTAGAAACAGACAACATGAGGCCTCTGATTATCCCAGCTTGCTGCCTGGAGAGTTTCCAGGCTGCGCTGCAGGCAGGAGGAACCCATTGAGAGCCCAGGAGTCTCCTGGGCAGAAGAGACGAGGTTCGGAGTCTGGGGAGGCCAAGACAGCTAGCTTACACACGGCACAGTGAGAAGAGAGGTAGACGGGGAGAGAACTCCAGGATCTGCAGAGTTCCCTCGGATCTTCAGCTGAGCCCTGATTAATGCGTGTGAGTCAGGAAACCATTTGAGGCTGGGGAAAGAACCACCCAAAAGGAACAGAGGGAACAAACCTTGGCACTCACACAGCACTGGGAAGCGTTAGCGTTCCCATCAGAAAAAGCCTTTCATTGGGCATGGGGTAAAGGACTCAGACGGGTATGGCCTCAGTAAAATTAGCCCTAGACTAAAGGTTGTTCAGGTCAACTCTTAACATAAAGAAGCCGCTTTTAACGGTATCAAATTGTTTCCAAGTAACTTCATTGCATCACAGAACAAAGCTCAAGAATATTTATAAGAATATAAAAATAACCAGCATCCAACAAGGTAAAACCCCAAGGTCTGGCATCCAGCAAAAAGTACTGGGCATGCAAAGGAGCAGGAAAATACAACCCAAAATGAGAAAAGTCAAACAAAGAAAAGAGTCTGTGAGATACTAAAAGAAAAATCTGAAAAATGAAGACAATTTAAACATCCATAATTCAATCATTTCCAGGAAAAGTAGTTGTTGTTAACAATGTTATAAACTTCCTTCTCATCTTTTTCTGCATATATATTTTGCATTAATAAATTGGAATGCTATATTTTGTCTAGAATCCTGCTTTTTTCTTGTTTTTTTTTTTTTTGAGGAAGAATAGCCCTGAGCTAACATCTACTGCCAATCCTCCTCTTTTTGCTGAGGGAGACTGGCCCTGAGCTAACATCTGTACCCATCTTCCTCTATTGTTTATATGTGGGACACCCACCACAGCATGGCTTGATAAGCGGCACATAGGTCCATGCTCAGAATCCAAAACAGCAGACCCTGGGCTGCCAAAGTGGAGCACATGAACTTAACTGCTGTGCCACCAGGCCAGCCCCAGAATCATGTTTTTTGCAATAATATGGCATGCATTTCTCCACATAAGCCTACAATAGCAAGATGTTTAAATAACAGCATAATATTTCATTGTCACTGATTTAACAATTTCCCCTCTAACGGATATTTAGGTTATTTCCAACATTTCACTCCTCAACACTACATCCTTGTATACAAATCTGTGCTTACCTCTGATGATTTCCTTAGAGTAAATTCCTGAGAGGAATGACTAGGCCCTAGAGCACCAATACTGTTAACACTTTAGAATCTTCTTTTTCCAAACTGCCCTCGAGAAAGCTTGTAATAGTTTACATTCTTGCCCGCCTTCTCATTCTCTCACCAAAACTTTCATTTTCCCCAATGTTTTAAAATTTTTGTAGAAAAACAATGGCATCTTATAACAGTATTGTTTTGCATTTTATTCCCCAGTAAGTTGCTTATTTTCTCACATACGTACCGCTCAGTTTGAGATCTTCATTTGGAATGCTTGGTCCATATCACTAGCTCACTTTTCTGTGAGTGTGTTAGATCTTTTCCTTATTTGTTTGTGAGAGCTCTTTATACAATCAATTTGTGGTATATTGTAAATGTTTTTCTTTACGTGCCTTTAAACTTTATTTATATCATTTTTTAATTCAAAGAGGATTTAGACTTTCATATAGGTAAATGTATCTGTTTTCCACTTGGTGGTTTTTTTCCTTGTTTATGTGCTTACAAAGTCCTCCCTTCCGCCAAGTTAAGTTCAATATTGTAAGAGAGGGGGAAGATTGGTAATGGGAGCCTCTCCTTACGTTCGTTGCAACCTTTTCCTGTTACATAACGTCTTCCCAGGTTTCCTAGCCATTCATTAAGAGATATATAGGATGGCCTGATTTTAATCCATGACTAATTCCATAGCTTGTCCCACAGATCTCCTTATTCCCTACCTGGGCACAGTATCTTTGGCTCTAAAAGTTCCCTTTACTTTACTTTGCTCATCATCCCACACTTCTCTACAATTTCTTAGAAGAACTCTCTTCTCTCTCCTTTGAGGTTTTAATTTCGGTCATATCTACACCTCCTTTGTTTTGCAACTCCACGCCCTGCCAACCCCGCCTTGCTGACTCGCGACCCCCCGTGACGCCAGCCTGTTTCCCCACCAACCCCTCGATCTGGGTACCCTGGCCCAGGGTCCTGCTCACGTACCCAGGCGCAGGAGCTCGGTGACGATGGCCTTTCCGATGCCCGTGCTCCCGCCGCTCACAATGGCCACTTGGTGCTGCAGCAAGCCGTGAGCCAGGAAGCTGCTGCGCTTAACCAAAGCACCCATCGCCGCGGAGCGTCTCAGCTCCAGCAGCGCAGACCAGGTCGGACTGGGACACTGGGTCCCCGCCTCCATCGAGGTGGGCAGGACAGAAGACAACGCCCACGTCACCGCCGGCCCCGCCCCGCCCCGCCCCGCGCGCCGCGGCAGCTCCCCATCCTCCAAGGGAAGGACCGCTCCAGGCGGCGGCTTCCTCGCAGCATCCTCTGCCAGCCTCTGTCTCCGGCACATGTAGGTGAGACTTTTGGTTCATTTTTTTCTTTAATTTTCTTTTATTTCGATGACAAGGGGTGGCGGGGCAGAAGGGAAGCAGACAAAAAAGCAGGAGTGTGCTCTATTTTGAAAAATTCAACCCTCAGTGCTATGGCTCTCACGGTTAATTAAAATTAAATCTCCACTGCATCTGGGAAAAGAGAGGCTGCAGCTCGGGATCCTTGCTGCGCCCTCCCGCATCGGGCGTTGGGCGATGCTCTGACTCCAGATGCTGTGTGCGGTTGGCTGCGAAGGGAAGGGTAGGCTTAGCTGAGGGGGAAGAAATCCGCCTTCCAGATCCTTTTATCCTCCGGGAGGGACCCTGGGGATAAGAGTCAGGGGAGGGGAGTACAGTTGCAGTCATCCACAGAACCAAGATAATAAATGATATTAAAAAGAAACTGCAGCCCACGTCCACCTCATCTCCGTCTCCCCATCCAGGAATCAAGGGAAGAAGCAACCTTTACCCGATTCGAGATATGATCCATTTCAGCCGGGCTGCATAAATTGATGGGTCCAAAAGAGGATCTTTCCTTCAAGGGTGCATGCTTCCTGCAAGAACACATCTGTAGGTGTGTGTCTGAGATCCTGTCCTCTCGTTCATTCCTTATGCGGGAGGGCTAGCCTCCTGAGAATGGGGGAGATTCCTCATCCGTGTTTTGGTGCACAGGGACAGTGATTTATTACTCAAATTCTCCAGCTTATTGTTCATCTTCTTTCATGCTGCCAGTCCACTGGCATGAGATTACACTTGGACTGGCCCAGTGAGACTTTGCCTAGGAACTTGGCAGATCAGGTGCTGTGGTCTTAACAATCCAGGCAGGATGCTGTTTCTAAGTCTGTTGCCAGAGTATTGTATTTTCCCATGCCAGGTGTTAAAATAATATAAAAGCAATCAAATACCGTTATTCTTTTGTTGGGCCCACCACCTAGTAATTCACAAAGCAAGCTGGAAATGGATCTGGTTGAGAGTGGAATCCGACATCACTTCCTGTTCCTCCATTCCCCTGCCCTTCTCTGACCTCCTTTAAGAAACACTTGCCCCTCTACCTTTGTTGCTGACAGACTCCAACCTACACTCCCTAAAGAAGGGAAGAAATCTCTGCCACCGCCCATGTGCTAGATAGTTAATCAAGGAATCACTTACTTCTACCACTGAAGTCAGTTATGTAGTTATGACCAAATTTTTAAAAATTACACCATCACCTCCTTAAGAAAGAACTAAATTTAAATAGGAAAGTTCAAGTTATTGTTGCAGAAAAAGTATAATTCCTAATGCTTGATCCCAATGTCAAAGTATTTTTTTTAACAGGAAGAGTAATGTGGACTCAGTTTCGAGGGTTTTCTTATTCCAGAAAATTCCAGGCTTTCTTTCTTGGAAGAAAGGAACAATTTCTTTTAAAGATTGTTTTATCTAAGATATAATTTAATGTGGTTTGTGTCCTTGTCTGGACCTGTGGATCCACGGAGCTCTGCCAGGGTGGGTCAGCGTGAGTCTGGCTCTACCGCTGCCTCTGTGTGGTGGCTGAGGGGACTGAGAGGACTCTGCGGTCCTCCAGGGAAAAGGTGATTAGACTGGCTGCCCACCCGTTTTGCCTGCTGAGGATGACAAGGAGCCATTTCTCAGCTACAAGGAAGTTGCAAGGAAGAGTAGTCCGAAAGCTCTTTTTCCGAGTCCAGAGTGAGCTTGTGATTACGAGAGAGGTGGAGTCTCTTTGAGAGGTCTTTTAGGAAAAATAAAGAGGCATGTTTTCTTTGCCTCTGCCCTCAGTCGGGGTTTGAAAGTCTGCTAACCCCAAAAGGCCTGGAGGCACAGCAATAGTTCTGCCTCTCAGAGGCTCTTTGTTTTCAGATTTTAACTTTGTCTCCTGGTTGAGCCATCTCTCCTCAGGGCAAGCATGCTGCTTTGGCTGAATCAATGCTACCCTGCGCTCTGCATCACTGCCCCCTTTGTCCTAGGGAGAAAGGCCTCGCCATGGCCATGATCCTTCCACACCCCGACTCTGTCACACCCCATTAGTACTGACGCCCTTCGTCTTCTGAGATGCATCTTCCCACCCCTCCCCCGCCCTCTGCCTAGTAATTTCATTTGCTTCCCTCTGCCAAGCAGCTGGTGGCTCAGACTGACATCGGCCTGTGGGATTCTCAGCATTGTGATTCACAGAAACTGGGTGCTGAAGGAATGTCAATGAGGCATCTAGCCCCACCCCATCTTGAAGTAAAAGCTGTCGTGAGCCAACTTACGTAAATGAGACTGTTAACCAGTTCACAATATTCAGCCAATATTTGCTGACACCTGCCATGTGCCAGGTCCTATTCTAGGCATGGAGGATACAGAACAGTGGACAAGACAGTTAAGTGTCCCTGCCTTTGTAGAGTTTATACTCTAAGATGTATGTATCTTGGGAGCAGGAGTCGGGGGTGGGAGGGGTGTGTGTGCCATGAGAGTTAGGACAGGAACAAATCAAAGATCAGAGAGTGAAGATCAGATCTTACAGCTCTTACAATAAGGAGATGCTCAAGTTCCTTGTAACCAACTACCCTCGCTGCCAGGAACTACTGCCTCTGCAGACAGTCAGATCCTCCCTAGATGATGGTCCTGCCTCAATGTGAGAGCCTTTCAGGACCAGGTAGGTCTGCAATAACAAGAGAAATGCTGCTTACCGAACCACGAGGGAACAGGCTGCAGCCTGACTGTGCTCACAGCAACTGGCTGGAGGCTGGGAGTTTTAAGTTGCTGTTCCATCGTTGCTCCCACCAGTCTGAGCCGAATTCCCTTCCATCTTTACACTGGTGAGACTGTTGCCCTGAGAGAGGCTAATGGTAATTTTCAGAGGTGAAACGGCAAGCATTTTATTTCCAAGTTGGCCTAATACATCTAACGGTGGTAAACCAAGGTTCTATTGGGAGAGTCTGGCTACCCTAGATAGGTGAGGTTTGGCCTTTTGGGTGACAGATACACAAATCAGAGAACTGAAAGAACAGCGGGATGGGAGCAAGACGCAGTTCACTGTAGTAACAGTAAATTCACTTGAAAGTGATGCTGCTCCACCCTCCCAGCTCCAGTTGGGATTCCTTGGAAGAAGGAGATGTGTCCATATGGACAAAGGTGCAGAAAGTCAACTCCCAATTGTTCCTAAATCAATGGAGCAGGGCACCCTGATTTAGAAGCTTTATAAGCCAGAGGGGGCAAAATGGCAGCCCATTTGTGTTTTGTTTTGATTGTTTGTCCACATGGTGATTTATTTAAATTTAGACTAACTGCAACAATTAAAATCGGAACTTTCACATGAAATCTCAGACAACCTGTACCAAATGAGCCTGCGGTTGTCTGTGAAAGCAGTTGGCTGAACAGTGGGCTTGGTGAGTGGAAGAGAGGGGAATAGTAACTTCCTATTTCAGCCCCTGGCATTCATGTGTCCAGATGCTAAGGCTTGGTGTCATTGTCATTTGTTAGCTTGTTCTAGCCATACTTCATCCATGTATGTTACATGTGTCCCTGCAATGAACATGACGCCAGAGGCTTCCAAAGTTCCTGGCTTCTCCACCTGCCAAGTCCACAAATTCTGCTGAGTATCTGGATGGGTTTGGAGAAGGCACTGGATCAGGTCTGCTCCGGTGACCACCTGGGAACAGAGAATTTGAGCAGACCCCAGGGAAATCATGCCCGCTGGTGAGAGGTCTGTGAACCAACACTGTGGAGGTAGGGGTGGGAGCTAGTGGCTGAGGGACTGATTGGGTGGGCACTGACCAGCAGGGAGTAATTACGAGACTTCCTACTGATGGCTCAGCCCTGCAAAGGCACTATACCTGGGTAGATATGCTCATTTTGTGATCTTGCAAGTCTTTGGATTTTTACTGAATGCCTAAGAGCTATTGGTTTTCTTTTAATAAAACTCTCTTTTGGTACACTGTTGGCTATCTCACTACAAGCAGACAAGACTATCTGTCTTAGTTTCTCCAGACTGCTACCTCACAAATACCATAGACTAGGTGGCTTAAAGAACAAAAGTTTTTTCTCGCAGTTCTGGAGGCTGAGAAGTCCAACATCAAGGTGCCAGCAGATGCAGTGTCCGGAGAGAGTCTGGTTCATAAACAGCCATCTTCTTGCTGTGTCCCCACAGGGCAGAAAGAGCAGGAAAGCTCTTTGCGGTCTGTTTTGTAAGGGCACTAATCTCGTTCATGAGAGCTCCACGCTACTAACCAAATCACCTCCCAAGGACTCTGCCTCCTAAAACCGTCACACTGGGGGTTAACATTTCAACAGATAAATTTTGGAGGGACACAGAATTTAGTCCATAGTGGTATCATATAGTGTATTAAGCTCTTCAATGGGTTTCCAGTGGGGCTTTAGCCAGCATCACTGTGATATCCTTTGTACTGGACAGCTGAGTTTCAGAATCCCTGGCTCATCCAGGAGAATCAAAATTGCTTGAACCACCCATTATCAGGGATTATGCCATTTTATGCTCTAACTTTGAAATGCATATCAAAATCCGCATGTGCCCCAGAGCTGACAAATTGGGACACAGAAGAGTGGTTGACACATAAAATAACTTTGGACAATCCCAGTATATTAGGTAGGGTTTCTATGTGGCTGCCTTAAGAGAACCAAAATAACCCTGGATTAAAACAAGATAAATATTTTTTTTTTTTCTCATATTACACTCCAGAGGAAGAGGGTTTATGGCCGTTAGGGTCACTCTTATTCCTTCTTTCTCATTCCTCTGCCATCCCCAGGGGTTTGCCCTTGTCTGCATAGCTGAAGAGGGTTTATCAAGTTCACATTCTGCCCCTCAAGAAGGTGAAAAGAGGAAGGAGAGGGGCAGATGTGGAAGTTGCACACATCATGTCTACTCACATCCCATTGGCTAGAGACCAGTCATGTGATCACACTTAGCTGCAAGGGGTGCTGGGAAGCGTTATCTTTACCAGGGAAGTCATATGACCAGCTAAAACCTCTTATTAGAGATGAAGAAAATAGA